TTACAATAACATAGAATTATTATTTGTTTCGTTATATTAAGAATAAGTGAGTCGCATTTGTATATATCATTATTTAAAATAAAATCATTGTTTCTTCTGTATTGGTAGCACATACTCATCATTACCATAGCCTGATGTATATATAGCCTTAAGCATATTATTATAATTTGTCATGTGTTATACATATTAGCCAGTTCATTGTAGTTATTACCACATCTTTCATAATTACTCTAGATCGTACAGTATGTTCATAAGGGGCTTAAATAAATCGCGCCCATAAGTGATGTATTTACGGTGGCCTCGTCGAGGTGGGTGCCGATAGCAGAACATAATACCTTGGATTAATTTTATACAGATATTGCACTTTATCGGCTGAATGTTGTTGATCCTGATTATTCATCAAATTGCTATTCATTCAGAGATTTGGGTCCGCTCCAGTGTGTCTAAGGAAAAATACTATTTTGTCAATGTGGACAAGCGTTACTTTCAGCAGTCCCAAACGGTAATTATGAGTGACGAAAGATTGGAATTATCAATAATAACACTGAGAAGTCACGTTCAAATCATACATTAAAGTAGGGATTTTGAGGACAACTTTGAAACAGGTTCTCTGAACTTTAGTTTGTTAGCGTTACGCAGGTTAGTCGTCGTGTAAGTGTTGTTTATGAGTTGTTTTTTTCTCAACTTTAGAGATTATTTTTAATACTAGACGACCAGTAATACTGTACAAGGTAAGATCATTAGATTTATTGGCCTATAATAGTAGTAGTAGTAGTAGTAGTAGTAGTAGTAGTAGTAGTAGTAGTAGTAGTAGTAGTAGTAGTAGTAGTAGTAGTAGTAGTAGTAGTAGTAGTAGTAGCTAGTAGCAGTAGCAGTATAGCAGTAGGAGCAGCAACAGCATTAATGATGATGATGATGATGACAATACTTACAATAATATTATTAATGATGATGATCGTCAGAAAATCCAAATCATAGATTTTAACATGATGGTATTTTAAGCAGCTATCTCTGCTATTTTATTAGTCATCTGACTGAACTGGAGTTACGCACTTGGTTTTGTAATCGGGGACATTGAACGAATGATAAACACTTGCACTTACAAATTGAATTCATAATAATTTGATATGATTCTATAAATTTGCGGGAAGGGTTTAAAGGAACACTCGAATTATACGACTAGACAATATTAATACAGGAATACAAGTGGAACAATTAAAAGCAGCCATAATATTATGTAATTTTTTGAATCGATGATTGTTTTGTTTGTTTATTATTAGGCGGCTTACTTAATGTTACTGTTATTGTAGATGTTTATGCCGAACAAAAAGTAGGAATTTTTTAAGTAAAAGGGTTAGAAATACACTATACTGATTGTGTTAACATATTTAATAATATATCATATAAAATATGCAATATATATAGTGGAGGTGTGCCAAACTTGGGATGGCCTTAAAAACACTTGACCCTTAAACTGGTATTTTGCAGGATTAAATCCGATTCTCTACTACCGGAGCACTGCCAGTAATCTCATAATTATGATGGATAAGGCCTGTACAACAGAAAGTGTGCATGTGCAGAGTGTAATTGTCGTTATTGACCTCATTATCAATATCATCATCATCATCATTGTCATCATCTTCGTCCTCTTCCATCCACACCGTCATCATCATCATCATAATCATCATCATCATCATCATCATCATCATCATCATGACACTTATAATCCTATATATTTTTTGTATATAATAATAATAATAATAATAATAATAATAATAATAATAATTAACCGTTATAAACTACAGCAGTACTATTACTTTCGTTTTATTATTTACAGAAATTATGTCAGTAGGCCTAAACTCCGGTTTATTTATCGTGGTAATCTGGAGTACAGTCGTGAGTGTGGCATTTTCAAAGTCATATTACTCGGTCTATGGATACGCATCATGTCACTCCTGCTGCCCCGTAGTAGACGATATTCAGCAATCTCCTTGCTCCAGCATTAATCTCCAACTTACTAAGAAGCAAGAGGCTCAAATTCAAATTGTTAAGCCTAGATTCAAGCAATACAAAAAGAAGCTATTGAATGGAAAACGTCCAAATGTAACTGTGGTTAGCTTTGAGGATGACGATCAAATTGAGAAGATCCTCGAAAGGTGAGATAAATTTGGTACTTCTGCCTTTGGCGTTGCGGATAAGACTCAAGAGTAAACGAGTGATTAAATATAAATTTGTAAGACCACAGATATGATCCTGTGAGTCACACTAATATTAATATAAACTATGCTATATATTGACGTATTTATTGTAGGCCTGAGATGCCCAGTCATACCATTCTAAATCCCAACGTTTTATGTCGATTTTGTGAGTTATAAATATGTTTTATTAAATTTGAGAATTAATATATCTATTTTTCCATTGTTGAATGGTTTTGAATCAATGCCGTAACCAAGATTTTCAAACAGTGCGGGAACCAGAATTTGAACCACTCTGTATTGATGATAGTACCGTAACATTGAATGGGTTTCTATAACTAAATTGCTTGGATTCACCTTGAACAGTAATTTATCTTGGCCACCGCATATTGATAATATCATTAAGAAATGTAATTCTAAATTATTTTTTCTTAGACAACTGAAACGGTCAGGTGTTGAGAGCCATGCATTATTGCTGTTTTATAAACAGGTCATTAGACCTGTATTAGAATACGGTACGCAGTGCCAGTATGATGGGGCATGAACATAGGACCAGTCTTACCAAATTGATCGCATTCAGCATAGGCCTAGAGCCTGCAAAATAATTTTTAACGAAATTTGTACAATTGATGATAACCTTGTTATTCCACTCAAAGTTAGAGGGGACAACTTGTGCAGGGGATGCTTCACCAAGATTAAACATCCGAGGCATGTACTACATCATTTGATACCTGATAAAACAAACATAAAATATAATCTTCGAGCTCCTAGAGAGTTTAAGTTGCACAAAGTCAGAACAAAGCGGTCTCGTGACTTTATTCTAAACCATGCAGTATTTGCCAAATGGTGAAATCTCCCTCGGCAAGTTTCTTCCCCTTCCTTCCCTCCCTCCCCACCCCTTCCCCTCCCACAAAATAAATAATAAAAATAAAATGAAATATCCTGTATGATTTTTCCAGTTTTCATAATTCGGTTTTTAGTACAGTGATCCGCATAATCATTTATTTGTCTGTCTCCTTTATTATGTCATTGTATTGTTCTCTCTTTATTGTATTTTAATGTTGTGTGTTTATGGGATTTTTTCCCTAATATCACCACTTTAAAATATTGTTATTATTATTTTTTTTATTATAATTTTTATTGTACTTTAATGTTGAGAAGAGTTTTAATTGAGTATTTTAAATGTTTCACATATATTTGTATATTACTATTAATTATTCTATACATTTCAAATTTTTCTTAAGTTTGCAATAAAGTTATTTTGAATCTTGAATCTTGACAATATCAGGGTGGACCCACTTTACGCGTAAATTCAAATAATGTGGACCCATGTGGACCCATTTTCTTAAAAGTTGACCCATTTTACGCAAAAGTATAACAAATCTGGATCAATTTCTTAAAATTTTACTTTATTTTTTCTTTAAATCTGGACCCATTTTTCAAAAAGTGGACTTATTTTATACATAAAATTGCATAATTTGGACTCATTTTTAAAAATGTGGACCCATTCTTCGTGAACCCATTAGAAAAAATTGTGTGGGACTGTCCCAACTGTCACAAATAGTTGGCTACGGCATTGTGTTAAACAGGCCTATAGTAATTAATATATTTTTACCTTTTATTTGTTTGATAGATTCGGGGATATGTTTAAGGACAAAAAACCAGACAAAATCCCTAAAACTACGATTCCGAAACCTGGTAAACAAAAGCCAACGCCAAAGCCAACTCCAGCACCCACTCCAAATCCCGTAGCACAGGGTGATGACGGTGTGCAGGGTGTTCCCTACCAAGCACCACCGTGGTATTTAGACGCCCTCTTGAAATCAAAGCCTACTATTAAGCCGGGAAGTTCATGGAAATATTATTCATCAAGATCATCTATACGCACAGTCAAGACTCTGCCGGGGAAAGTTAGCGTAACGCGGACCATTGTATCTGGAAAGCGAAAGAAGCGTGCAGCAAGTAAGCCGATTGAAGTGTGTCCCCGACGGGAGGCTTGGCAGGATTTGAACCTGGCACTTAATACCGAGGGGAAGTTAGTGCAGATTGTTCAGGTAGGTTCCGATTAATAATGATAATAATGTTAGTATTATGAATAGTAAACGATGATGGTCATGATAATGATGACGAAGATGATGGAGGTGGTGCTGATGCAGATGAAATTGATGATAATGATAAGAATGATGTGGCGATGAAGATGAAGATAATGATAATGATCATGTATAAGGTCATGATAGTTAATATGAGGGAGATGATGGTGGTGCTGAAGATGATGATTACCGATGATAAAGATGACAATTTTTGAAAGAAGGCGATGATAAATTAGTTCTTGTTTTTAAATCACGATTTTGTTTTTGAATATAATATGTTGATTGTGATTAAAAATATTACATAAGGTTATATATTTTCATATTCAGCTCCCATCTAAAGGCCAAAACCAGTGGATTTTAGAAGAAGTCTGTTCCAAGAAAGTGTCACCAATTCTGCCGACGAAAGTGGTATGTGGAGTCCGTTCACGTGTCGTCAATGCTGTCGTTGTACCTTTAAGCGGAACCAAGAATGCCGGTGAAATACAAGTGCAAGAAATCCAAGTACATTGTTGTGCTGGCTTCTTCATGCCTTGATGTTTTTTTGTTTTTTTCCCCCAGCAAATATCTATTAAATTAAAAACACAGAGATCATTGATACGTATTGAAAGTTAGCCTGGGATCATGTTATTGTATGTGGGACGATGGTAGAAAATATGATGAATGAAATACAGCACTGTACGATGATGTATAGCATCTTTGTAAAATGGACTTTAATTAAGGGGTGTTTTGAAAACACTTATTCTAGAAAATCAGTTTATTATTCAGAATAATATATTACATGTGCTTGCCCCTGCTAACAATTTCACGTTATAATTAATGTTACAATGTGGTGTAGAACCATAAAGCCTGTTTTCCAGTAGGTGAATTTATTAGCGCGAATCGAAAGCGTCGGTTCATGCACACGCGCATTCATATTTTCCTATCGGAGTTTTTACGAAGCGAAAAACTGGGCAATCAATCAGAGCTCAGGAAGAGAACCGACGCTTTGATTCGCGCGAATAAATTCGCCTATTGGAAAACCAGCTTAAAGACGCATTTATGACGTGATTTCACTACCAATTAATGTTTGCGGCAATGATGTGTAACATTATTTTTTAACATATCTAACTACAACGTTTTGTTTTTGCTGGTGCATTAACAGGCGATGGAATCAAACCCACGAGTTATATTGCCTGGAAAAGTATTAATTTTATATTATAATTTATTAATAAAGAATGTATTGATCCGCTATGTTGCATTGCGGTTTTAATATTTGGGCTCCTTTGATCCTTAACGGTATGTATGCATACTGCCAAGTAAATGAATATAAGACAGGTGGAGGTCTTTTATTGACGTAATATTTTCAGATCAAAGTTGTTATAAACACCAAATCTGATATACACAAGCCAAAGTAAAGTAAATATGAAACTTGACACTTTAATTATGCTCTTCCATTCGTAGAACTGGGGAAAGTTTTAAAAATCGAGGTGGCACCAAAAATGAAAGCGGGTGGAGACGACAAATCTATTTATTTATTTTTTGACTTGGTCTAAGTAAATAGCAAAATATGTAATGCCCGAAAATGTACGCATTTATTCAGTAGTGTTGTAGCTTCATAGTTACCACTTCAAACGATGAAGTTCGTTGCTGAAAAAATATCCTTGTTCAAATTATCGTCAGTGGGCAAACATGACAGCTTCTGTATTCCCTACTGATAATAGGTTAAGATCAACAACTTAGGAAACAGATGTCTGCATCAAGTTCAAATTTGTTACAAAAATATATAAACCGCTTGCGTAGAGTTTCGTATAAGGGTTTACTTGAGGAAAGCCCAGCTGAATTAAAATTGTAGGCCGAAACTTGGGTTTTTAGAAAGATTCGTTTGAATTCAGAGTGGTTGAAAGCCAAATAGAATGTGGGCTTAGTATTGTATTTTTTTTAAGCTGCTGAAC